CCCTGAAAATCAGGGATACCCCTAGGTCGTGCGGCGCCGTGCATGCTCCGTTGAAGGCGCCAGAATGTCACAAGAGATCCCTCGGAGCAAACGCTCTTGCAGAATTCGTTCCATTTCGCTGTCTTAGCTTCCTTCGCAATTACCTTGAAAGCCACTGTCTGCTTGTTGACCTCATCTTTCAGACTGATCAGGCGTTCAGAAAGTGACGGATCAATTTTCCTTGCCTTTTGCCATGCCTTGACAGCTTTCCCTTTTTCTAGCCACGCCATGTTGACTACTTCATTCCACCATGGTGGCTGGGCCCATCTCTCCCGCCGTCTGCGATCTACTCTTGTTTTACGTCGTCGGATTTTGCTAATGGCATCTTGCCCTGTACGGTCATATATAAAAGCAGGCACATTGATTACATGACCTTTGTTGTTGCTCTTCTCTACCAGGACGACGCAAGGAAAGTGATCACTGTCGTGGTATCCCAGTGTGCTCCACCTGCATCCTGATGCAATGGAGGGAGACACTAGGGCCAGGTCAATTACGCTGTCAGAATCCCCTTGTCGTGTTGCCATTCGGGTAACCTTTCCGTCGTTCAAGCATACTAGATTGGCAGACACTAGGGCATCCTCCAGGTCTTCTCCCTGTTTATTAGTGATTACATTGCCCCACTGGTGTCCTCTGGCGTTGAAATCTCCGCAGTAAATGACTTTCTTTTCCTCCGTCTGGAGCAAACTCTGCCATTTCGCTGTATCCACCTTTCCATTGCAGGCGTACACATTGACAATCACAAACTGGGCCGGGCCCATCACTCTGACTGCGTGTACTTGTAAGTCGTCATTATTCCACTTAGACATGTCCACCTCAGACACCGGTATGTGGTCACGAACAAGAATGAGCTGTCCGAGGTGCCGTCTATTGTAGAAGGATTGGAAGCCCGCAATTTTAACGATATCGTCGCCGAGGTGTGTTTCCTGTAGGACAACAATGTCGTTGCTGTAGAGGAGCTTCTCAAAAATGGGTCGGCGTTGACTGAACGAAGCGCAGTTCCAGTAGAGAACACGAACATACTTTAAACTGAGTCTCTCACATTTCAGTCGCTTCCTGCAGGCGCCGCCATGTTTGCCTGTTCGCGTTCTCCTTGTCCGTCTACGGGTTGTTCTGAATTGGTAAATAGTCGCCATCGGACGTCGAATACACCCTGAGGGAAGTCTAAACTCACGTGCATGTACTCCATTGCACGGTTCAGACCCCATTCCGATGAAACTTTCACATTATACGTGAGCGAAAATAGCTAATTTGCGCTATTCGCCTCAACGGACGAAAAAGCGTACCGCCATTGTGGCTGTTTACACCGGAAGTGTCATCCTTGAATTATAAGTCTTTGCAATCGAATCGTGTCTCGGGAAATGTCATGCAGCTTACAAGATACAACACATGACAATTATTACATTGTCCAGTATTGTGTCCTCGTTAGGCCTTCTCTATTTGCCATTTATGCCAATTACGACTGTCTGCACTTACGAACAGACGTTCTCTTTTTAAAATATGCTCAAATATTTCATCTTTTTTTGCCATTCAGCTAAAAAAAATATATTATTATAAATGGGAAGTTAATCGGTTCAACACAGAAACCACGAAGTCAAATGTGTCGACCCAAAGGTGCACATATTACAGCTCTGGTGTAAACAGGCTCACTTGTTTACGTCACTCGACGAATGAAAAAAATGTTACTATATTAAAAGTTAGTTGCGTATCCTTTACAGGACGTTGCAGAACCAACCCCAACAGCCCCTGGCTGTTGTGCCTGGTTTGTTGTGTCGCTCCTCTAGGCAAATTTACGTCCAGCAGTTTGCCATTTAAACTACTAGACGTTAATTTGCACACAACAGCCAGGGGCTGTTCGGGTTGGTTCTGCAACGTCCTGTAAAGGATACGCAAATAACCTTAGTTTGCCATTGCTTCTGGACTGCGGGCTCTCTTGATACCACTGTCGAAACCAACACAAGGCGCATGGCCCGTAGCTGGGGTCGAACCCGGCATCCCGGCATTAGGAAGCGTTGGCATCGACTTAGCCACAGAGCCGACATCACTATATTACACTTGCTTAAGCCCATTGAGCCTCCTACGTCACTACGGCAATTTAAAGGGCTGAGCGACCCAATGTTTTCTTTGTATCAGGGCTCTTGCTGGCTTTAGCAGCTAACACTTTCTGGCGGGATGAGGTAGCCACTTCAGAAAATCCTGTTTATCCGTCTACAGCAACACGCGTGGCCGCTTACAGTTACCATTATTTGCTTCCCTTGTAGGTTCCCCTACACACGCTTGAAAGCTTCGCGCCCCAACATTAAAGCGAAACTCTTGATTATGTGTAACCCCATTTACCGGAATACTTTGTTTGGGTACAGGTTTTAGCTTTTACTGTGCTCACACGTGGTTGTCCACCATCAACATTTGATCTCGAATCTATTGTCCACCCCCCGGATATTGTTTGTTCGGCGGGTCTTTCTTGCGCCAATTCCCGCCAAGAATCCTTTGAAGAAGGCATTTATAAATATTTCAAGTTGCCGTCTGCCTTAGGGTTGTATCAACTGTTGGTTTCCACTGCCCGAGGGGGAGGAGGCTAAAGGTTTCACCGTCAACGAATTTGTAACAGTTTATCTTATAATCCTGGCCACGTGCCTTTCGTCGTTGTGTAAAATCCACAGCTGCCGATCTCTTCAACCATTTTATATTTTGAGGTTTGAACAACCGGTCAACATCATGGCACACGGGTACCATAACCCATCAGTGCTCCGTTCTTTTTCTAACTCAAGTAGAGTCCGAAGAAGCGCAGCACAGTGCACAGGCTCTGTAGCACCGGCGAGGATCCTAAAATACTTTAGGTAAATTCTTAAGTAACAATTTTATCGGGACAGTAGTAACGTTAGGCTACTGTTTTTTCAATTTCCAACTGCCAAGGGATTTTTTACGTGCGCAACAATGCACACGGGCGTCCAATCTCACTACCCAGAGACAGGGGAATTACTAAAAGTCCACGTGAAAAAAAGCCAGCCCTTAACGAGGACTGTACTCGGAACCTCTAGCACTCGAAGCGGACACCATGCCTCGAGACCACACAGCCCCCCCCCCCTCCCCACAATTTTATATATATAATTAATAAACACACGATGTATTGTTTTTTTTTATGTCTGTTAAACCAGTGTTTCTCAAACGTTTTATCCCCGCCGCCCACCAAAGCGGGGACAATAGTTTCATTTCTCATTTCCTAACTGGCATCTAATCAAACACAGAACAAAAAACAAATGTAGGTGGATGCTTATTCGTTACATTCAATGTAATAAAACAACATTTTTCGGCTGAAGCACAACAAGCAATGATGTACAGATTAGGCGGGAAGCAAAGAAGCGGCCGACCATGCAAACGAGGACAGAGGGAATAACAGAGTTGTTTTTTTTTAAGTCGTGGCAAATTTTTTTTTTTTTTTTACTTCTGCCAGGCGGTGGCCGTCGCATTTTTGCTCCATTTGTAGACTGGAAGCATATAGTTTCGTCGCCCAGCTTCTGAGTTGAGTGCATTGTGTGACACTGTGAGTTACGTGTGTTTTTCGTTGGCACAGGAGCAGAGCAACTATGGGGTGACCCGTTTGCTATGAAGCTGAAACTAGGATTACCAGATTACCTGATTATCACGGAAATCCCCAATTACGCTGCGTAAAGAAGGGCACTTTCCCGTCAATTATATTTTACCTGGACACTGCAAGATACAAGAGGATCAAGATGAGATGAGAAGACAATACAAAAATGAAGATTTATTGATAACATTACTAAGTGAAATAACTTCAAGTGAAAAATGGCTGCGAACGCCACCTTCCTAGATAAAATGTTTAAATTCCAGTGAGATAACACACACAAACACAACTGTAAATTATTCACAGAGTATATATATATATGTTTTTATATATATATATATATATATATATATATATATATATATATATATATATATATATATATATATATATAACAAAAATAAAATCATAAATACATTTAAGAAAAGCTTGTACCATATTTTGCAACAATATATCATGTTTACAATTCAAATTTATCAAATTGCTAACTGCCATTATAACCTGTCTTAAGATTGTAAGGGCTTTTACGCAGACAGTGGATCGAAGCATTGCAAAATTCCACTGTACGTTGAGTTACCTCAATCTGTGTACCAGAGTGTGCGGGTGTCGTCGGCATTGAAAGAGCAGACAGATTAGCCGGCTCTGCCATAGTTACAGAGGACCGGCCCATGGATCATGCAGACATCGTGAATGCCATCAGAGAGGTAGGACGTTTGGAGGATTTTGGGAGCAGCACATCCACATATTTGCTAAGAGTGCAAGAACTGGAAGTAAAGATCGGCACAGCCAGGCACGAGAGGCACACCGGAGGCACAAGAAGTCTTTTCAGTGGGACGCTGATGTGTATGTTAAGGAGGAATCTGAGCACCTATAGACGTGTCCGGAGTGAAGTGAAGATAACCCAAATCACCACTCGTAATTTACGAAAACGTAATATTTATATGCAAAAAAAACCGTTACTTTTGAAACATGTGACAACTGGACAAGATTTACGGTAGAAGAAGACACAAATGGATGATTCTTGACATCATTTTGTCATAGACAAATGTCAGCACACGAACTACTATATGTTGTAGGAGTTTGCACTATGCAAGAAGCGTACCCCACCACGTCAGTCGGCAAGGAACTTGATGATGGTAACGTCTACAGACGGGCAATTAAAGTTTCTTTGTTCCATGCAGTCCACTCTCTTGAACTTAGTTTTATCTCGTACATATTCCGGTACACATTTTTTCATCGCCCTGTTTGCATTTGTACTAACAGCCAATGGAAAGATGAGTTATAAATAACCAGCCAATGAGGGCAAAAAGGATATTCCGTTGAAAATAAGGGACTTCATGTCGGCCATTGGGGCTCACATTCAGGTCTGGCCGTAACGAAAATGACGAGCCACAGAATTGGCGTCAACCTTAGGGTTTCAGGAAATTGTGATCAAGGTGCCAGAAAGTATATGGAAGACAACCATGTGATTAAATTTCTGAAAAAGGATACCGAGGATTATGAGTTTGCGTATTTTGGTATCTTTGACGGTCATGGTGGCCCCGAAGCCTCGACTTTCTGCAAAGACAACCTGCTGAATGAAATCACCAAATACAGCGGCTTCTGGACGGATGACGACGAACAAGTTTTACAGGCGATTAAAAAAGGCTTTCTTGATACACACAATGCAATGTGGAATGTTCTTGGTGAGTATTTATTTTATTGCAAGGTGTTTGTGTGTCGACAATCGTTTTTTCCCGCTGACTTTAATGTCTGAAATACAGAGCAGAAAAACAATGGCTTTGAACCACCTTTGTGAAGGCTTTATTATTCTGTAGGTCGTTGGCTGTTTCACGGGGCTTTGTCTGTTATTAATTCATTGTTAGGTCGTGACATATATGAAAGGTAATATTAGTATTACTTCTGTACGCAGTCTGTGACAAGGCCACTTGCAGATGTTTGAATTTGCACCGGAAAAAGACAACCCCGCGCAATTGTATGTAGCACATTGATGGTCAAGCTATTTTCATTGTTAGAAATTTGAAGCTGCTTTGTTTTAGTTGGCGCCTTGTCTGGTCGTCCAAAACAAAACATCTTGTTGTGGTATATGACTGTATTTTTTGTGTGCTAGTTATATTAACATTTAAAGTGATTATATGTTAATGATGGTTTGAAGATAGAGATGTCTTTGTTATTGAATTCATCTAACCCTCAAGTTGTCATCAGTGATGAAACATTTTACAATTGTTGTGATTTTTTTTTAAATTTTAACCTGTTCTTGTTAATTTAGCAAAATATGTTAAAAGACCTATCTATCCATAGTATTCTTAAAATTCTTCTGTAAAATCCATCTGCTCCCCATTTCTTTTGAGACAAGAGTCATTACTGTAGCTTCTTAAATAGCATGAGACAGGTTGGTTGCTGATAGTATAGTTAGCATTCAAATGAATATGTTTATAAGGGCAAATATTTTTAAGTTTAGCATAATAAGCTGGGTAGTCTTCATAATTTTGCAAATCTTTCATAGTCCTAAAAAAGTGTTGACATTTGATATGATCAGACTTGTAACTCAACAACTCAGGGCCAGGCCATTCAACTAAAATGTTGGAATTAAAATAAAAAGCATGGGGATTGTTGTTTTAATTTTTTATCATTTTTGTTTGTGAAAATTTGTGTAATCAAGTGGTGGCAGTTTGTTGGTATCTGACTGCAGAACAGCAGCACACCAGTTGTTTAATCAAGTGACAGTTTGTTGGTATCCTGACTGCAGAACAGCAGCACACCAGTTGTTTAATCAAGTGACAGTTTGTTGGTATCTGACTGCAGAACAGCAGCACACCAGTTGTTTAATCAAGTGACAGTTTGTTGGTATCCTGACTGCAGAACAGCAGCACACCAGTTGTTTAATCAAGTGGTAGTTTGTTGGTATCTGACTGCAGACCAGCAGCACACCAGTTTAATCAAGTAGTAGTTTGTTGGTATCTGACTGCAGAACAGCAACACACCAGTTGTTTAATCAAGTGACAGTTTGTTGGTATCTGACTGCAGAACAGCAACACACCAGTTTAATCAAGTAGTAGTTTGTTGGTATCTGACTGCAGAACAGCAACACACCAGTTGTTTAATCAAGTGGTAGTTTGTTGGTATCTGACTGCAGAACAGCAACACACCAGTTTAATCAAGTAGTAGTTTGTTGGTATCTGACTGCAGAACAGCAACACACCAGTTGTTTAATCAAGTGACAGTTTGTTGGTATCTGACTGCAGAACAGCAACACACCAGTTGTTTAATCAAGTGGTAGTTTGTTGGTATCTGACTGCAGAACAGCAACACACCAGTTGTTTAATCAAGTGGTAGTTTGTTGGTATCTGACTGCAGAACAGCAGCACACCAGTTGTTTAATCAAGTGGTAGTTTGTTGGTATCTGACTGCAGAACAGCAGCACACCAGTTGTTTAATCAAGTGACAGTTTGTTGGTATCTGACTGCAGAACAGCAGCACACCAGTTGTTTAATCAAGTGGTAGTTTGTTGGTATCTGACTGCAGAACAGCAACACACCAGTTGTTTAATCAAGTGACAGTTTGTTGGTATCCTGACTGCAGAACAGCAACACACCAGTTGTTTAATCAAGTGACAGTTTGTTGGTATCTGACTGCAGAACAGCAGCACACCAGTTGTTTAATCAAGTTGTAGTTTGTTGGTATCTGACTGCAGAACAGCAGCACACCAGTTGTTTAATCAAGTGACAGTTTGTTGGTATCTGACTGCAGACCAGCAGCACACCAGTTGTGTAATCAAGTGACAGTTTGTTGGTATCTGACTGCAGACCAGCAGCACACCAGTTGTTTAATCAAGTGACAGTTTGTTGGTATCTGACTGCAGAACAGCAACACACCAGTTGTGTAATCAAGTGGTAGTTTGTTGGTATCCTGACTGCAGACCAGCAGCACACCAGTTTAATCAAGTGACAGTTTGTTGGTATCTGACTGCAGACCAGCAGCACACCAGTTGGATACATACTGGTGTATATTAAATTTGGGCTGGGCTTCAATTGTATATTGCCATGAACATCACAGTGCAGCTCGCATTTCATAGTTGATTGTGACAATCAACTTCCTTTGTTAGCCAGTGTTTTGGGGAATGCTTAAACTTCATGCGAAGACTTGTTGTGATCATTCATTCTCCTACCTTATGTTTTCAAGTCTCTTAGTTAGAGCCCCTGACCACCTTTGTGATGGTAGACTCCTCCTCCTCCAATACTTCTAGGAACCATGCTTTCCATTTCTGCTTATTTTCAGTCGCTGAAGTATTTGTTTTCATGGCAGTTTTCTGTTTGTGAGCATCTTTGACACTCATATGCTTTGAGTACAATTTCTTTAAGTAACAAGTTCAAAGGTTTGATTTTTCTACTTCTTGAGTGTTTGTAAAAAAGTCTATAACACTTGAGGGTATATTGAAACAGGAAAGATGCATGAGCTGTTTTACTGTAGTTTGTTTACTGTCTGAACTGCAGGCTTTTAATGCTGTTTTAGCTACACTCGTTGTGACGTAAGCTATTTTAGCCACATTGCTAAGGTTAGCCTGGAAGCCTTTCGGGTAGTGCTTAGATGCTCGCCTACAGAAACGAAGGTCATTGGTTAAGGTCTTGAGCCAGTTAATTTTTTTTTTTTTTTTAGAAATAACTTATTGGCCAGGCCAACCCAGCCTTAAATGGGTACCAGGTAAATTCCTCAGAAGTAAAGGCAGCCAGCTTGAAGAATAGCCACCAAGTGTTAATTGGTCTGTAAAATACTGGTTTGGCCCTATATGCCTGACGATGTGCAAAAGGGCCCTTTACTTTATTTCTATTCTCTTTTCTATTGACGTATCAATTGATGCTGTGAAGCCAGGGCATTCACAGTAGTTTGACATATTTAATTTGTTTAAGCATTTTTGGCATTTATGTTTTAAAATGAAATGAAAACATCTTTATTCTTTCTATAAACAAAATGGAATTCAGGGGGTTGAAATTACTCTGAAAAATATCTCAAGAAATTATCTTGGAAGTTTTGTTTTTGTATTCCTTCATGTCACTTGATTAGTATTTATCCCTCGTTTCACTTGTAATACTAATATTTAATTCACATGATTTAAATTCTGACAAAAGTTAGTGAGGAAACATGGGTTTGCTACAGTTGTTTGCAAGAATAATAATTGAGTCCAGTACTGCAGTCATTTGTATGTGCAGAGCAGTTTATGCAAGAAAATTTGTTCAGGTATATGGATGGTGATAGAGACAGTCATTGCAACTCTGGCATGGGTTGCTAATTTTATGTTACTGAGGTCCGATGCATTAAGCTGTCTTTCTGTACTGCAGAGAGGTCTAAGTGGATGGTTGTGGCAGGACTAGACAATACCTGGAGCATTCGAACAAATATGGACTTTGCTATCCTGGTCATGGAAATGGTAGTGAGAAAAAGAGAGCCAACATGGTAACATTTATAGATGGGACGCTGATTAATGTGGTTTAAAAAGTGTAGACAGGATAGGACGTTGGTGTATTTCCTCCCTCCTAACATCAGAACAGAACATTTGTCTTCCTCAGTTGTGAGTCAACCTCCAAACATTGCCACCTCTGTCACTTATGACCATCTGCACTTATAGCCACACAAAATAAATAAAAAAAAAAGTAAATAAAGCGATATTGGTCGGAACTTTGTGTGTGTGCATAAACTGAATCAATACAGTACACATATATTTTTCACATTATGTTCAATAATTATTTGTACATATGTTGAATTTTTGTATTTTATGTCTAATTGATTAAATCTGTTTGAATGAAAGTGTTGACAGATATAAAGAAAACTTGTGACTAGTTCGACTTACAACCTTTTAGTTGGAACGGAACTTTGTCTTGAGTAAAGTAGTAGACATGAAATCTGTGAGTTAATTCCCCTCTAGACATTTCTGCTAGGGCTCTCCACTCTGTCCTTTTGTTTTCCCTTTCTTTTCGTTATCCTTTTATAAAACCACCTATTAGCGGCACTCACATACTCTGTAAGTATAGATATTTTTATACCTTGTTCTTTTTCAGCATTCCAAGCATGTCTCTCTGTCATTTCATTGTCTGTACACCCTGACCATTGCAGTCTGTTAGCCGTCATGATGTCAGTCATTAGTGGTTTAAACGTCCAGATTGTTGTTGTTGCCACTGTTGATACATGATCTATATATTTGTGTGACTTAGATTCCTGGCCAAAGACGCCCACAGGATTGCCCAGTACAGCAGGCAGCACTGCCACTATTGCCATCATCAAACAGGGGAAGCTATACACAGGTCACGTTGGGGACTCTGCTCTGGTGCTGGGGGAAATGGATGTCTATGCCAGGGATGACTTCCCCTACCAGGCTGTTTGCATCACAAAGGTATTGCTGCTGTTAAGGGTCATGATTATGGTCTCCAGGTGTGTGTTCTCGGCTTCCATTTTCAATAGACTTACTGTCCAACAAGATTGCTATAATAAGAAGTTGATTAAGGTTTGGTGGCATTGGATAAGTTGGGCTGCTGAAAGGTGCAAATTAGCAGAAGGTTAAGGGCCTATGCTCGCAAATTAGCAGAAGGTAAAGGGCCTGTGCTCCTTTCAGGTATGAAAGAACAAGAATTTTGCTGTCAGTGTTAAGTGCACAACCATTTCTGGTTATTCACAGGTCTGCCCTGGACCCTTGAGGGCCACCCAGGGACTTTGCTATGTACAGAAAATGTTGGCTGAAAAAATAACAGAATAGAACATCAAAAACCACGACTTACTGGGCATTTGATGTGTGCATGCTGTTTATCTGATTCTTTTATATGCTTACAGGGATCCCTGTCGGTGCTACATAGGGTGGTGGATTCTATTGTATACTTACAGGGATCCCTGTCAGTGCTACATAGGGTGGTGGATTCTATTGTATACTTACAGGATCCCTGTCGGTGCTACATGGGATTGTTATATACTAACAGGGATCCCATCAGTTCTGCATATATTCTTTAATACATGTAATGGTATCCTCACCAATACTACATATTATTGTTATACACTTACAGGGATCAATGTCACTGTTACATATGATGCTCTTATCCATGGTTGATGTTGTATTGGACACAGGATGGAGCCGTTTATTGCTGGTTTTCTGTTGTCCTGAGCTGATGATCTAATAATGTGTTGACAGGAGCACAAACCTGACGACCCAGATGAGCGCCTGCGCATTGAAGATGCAGGTGGAGAGGTCATTAACAAAAGTGGTGTTCCCCGTGTTGTTTGGAGTCGACCCAAGACCAGCCACAAGGGGCCGGTGAGGCGCAGCACACAGATTGATCAGATTCCATTCTTGGCAGTAGCTAGATCGTTGGGTACGTTGTTTTGTGTGAACTTATTGTCAGCAAGAAAACTCACTGGTTGTCCATGTCAGTCCTTGTTCTGGCTGCTCAGTCTGTCCTATCTGTATAACAGAAAATATCTTCACTGTTTGCATCAACAACTTTTTAGGGTAAGAGAAATGAACCCTGCAGAGTATTTGGGTACCCTAATAACAGCAGATGGAAGATTTATTTAAAAAGTTAAAACATAGAATAGCTGAAGCAAAGTTGGAAAAAGCCAGTCTACATTCTTTAGTCATGTCATAAGAAGGGGACAACTGGAATGCCTCATGACGGTGGGAACGGTGGAGGGATGGCGAGGCAAAAAGAGACAGAAGATGCTGAAGAGTTTGACATTATGACATGGAGGAGCGATCTGTGTCAGAGTTGATTAAAAGTAAATGAGACAGAAGGTTGTGGATAGGCATGACTACCGCCACACATCATCGACTTTTAAGAAGGGAGTGGGGGGGGGGGGGGGGAGTGGTAAGGTGCATCTGCCTGAGAGGCAAGGAACCAACAATCTGAATACAGATTAGTCAGATCTGTTAAACAGGTGTGCACGAAACACTCAGGTTCTGGAACAAAACTTGCCTGAGGTGGTTAACAATCCGAACCGGAGTTTACAGCTGATGAACGTGAAGAAGGCGACTTTCTGTTATGATTGTTTCTAATCTACTATTTACTCATTAAACTGTTATGATCTGATACAGTTTTTACTCCTGTTACGATTGTTTCTAATCTACTATTTACTCATTATACTGTTGTGATTTGATGCAGTTTTTACTCCTGTTACGATTGTTTCTAATCTACTATTTACTCATTAAACTGTTATCATTTGATGCAGTTGTTACTCCTGTCCCAATAGGTTTAACTTTTTCAGTCTGAAGGAGTTCATCAGAATTAACCCAGCCCTTACCCACACAGGCCTACAGGTTACACTAGGCTAGTGTTGTCATTATGGAAGCCACATGTATAACTTGTTTAGATGTTAAAGAACATGATGTCTGGGACCAGCCCTGATTGGACTGCTATCAAGGATGAGATTCTGGACATCTCTGGTTGGTGAAACCGTCAGGTAGCAACCCAAAAAGAGAACAGACAGAAGTAGTTCGACTAATGATAGGTTACACTGGTTTATGTAACACCTATTTGTTGAGTTTGCCGTAGACGCCAGTAAGAACTATCAGAATAGTCAAGATCCATGTGTGGATGTTGGGAGCACACTGTGGGAGGAGAGAATAGTCCCACTGCCCCCCCCCCCCCCAAACACCCAACAAGCATGTTGTAAAATTAGACTACTTAGGGGTTAGTTAGTTGGGTTATCCTCATTGCACTCCGGACATGTCCATAGGTGCTCAGATCCTCCCCTCAGTATGAACCCCAACGTCCGATGGCTAATAGTACCAGTTCTATGTTGATTAACAAGTCTTCTGGCGTGTCTGATGTGCGTCTCGTTTTTTGCTGTACCGATCTCAATTCCCAAGTCTGCCATTCTGGCGAGTGATGTGGATTCACTGCCACCAAAGTCCTCTATCCTTACCATTTCTCTGAGGGCATTGATAATATCAGCATGATCCAAAGGCTGACCGTCGGTAGTGATAGCGGATCCAGCCAACCTGTCAGCTCTTTCATTTCCATCGACGCCTGCGTGTCCCGGAAAGACTAATTATGGGTGTTTCCTTCAAGGTCAGAGTGCGTCTGCCTAAGAGATAGGGAACCAACAGTCTGCATACAGATAAGCCATTTCTGTAAAATAAATGTGCATACAGAACTTAGTCCAGGAACAATACTAAAATCTAGAAGTGGACAAACAAAAACTTCCCATTGGAGTTTCTTACCAGCCAACCTGAAGGAGAAGAATCAAAAAGTATATAGTAGATAAGACATTTTACTGAACCATGAAGCAAACAGTTTATTGTCTCTACTCTTCAGGAGTTGTAAAATATTGATCACTCTGCTGGGCAGCAGCAAAACATCCTCAAATAGGCACCAGAAAAGGTCAACGGAAGTGATGGTTGCCCTCTCGCCTGCTACTGAAAAAGTTAACTAATAACGTAAATTGTCACTTTCAGGTGATCTCTGGAGCTACGACTATTACACGGAGACGTACGTGGTGTCACCGGAGCCTGATGTCTCCGTGCTGCAGCTGGACCCGAGCAAGCATCGCTGTATCATTCTGGCCTCGGATGGTTTGTGGAATATGCTGACCCCAGAGGAGACTGTCAACATAGTCATGGATCTGGAGGCTCAGTTTGAGCAGAAGATCATCAGTGACCCTGTCAGTTCACAACATTGTTTTCTGCTTTTTTGTTTGTTTGTTTTAGATCCAGATTATTTTAGAAATATTTGTTTCCTGCTTCAGACTTGAATTCTGGCTTTGTTTGCTGTTTGGATTTGTTGCTTCAGACATGAATTCTGGCTTTGTTTGCTGTTTGGATTTGTTGCTTCAGACTTGAATTCTGGCTTTGTTTGCTGTTTGGATTTGTTGCTTCAGACTTGAATTCTGGCTTTGTTTGCTGTTTGGATTTGTTCGAACTCTTTTGGATGCAAGCAGGTGTTGACTTTTTACCATTTTACTGTAACTTTAAAAAAAAAAAATTCTTGTGCAATATATCCTTGTCATTGGGAGTTAGAAAAAGAATTCTTGCTTGCTGCATACATTCAGTTTTAACATATGACTGTGAATCCTGGACAATCGGTAGGCAGGCCAAACAATTTCTAGAGGCCTCAGAGATGTGGTTTTACAGAAGAATGCTTAGAATACCTTGGACAGCCAAAAGAGGTTTTGAAAGAGGCGGGAGCCCGAAGACAACTTATCACAGACATCAGAAGGAGACAGTCATAATCTTTCGGCCATGTTATGAGAAGAGGGAAAATAGAACATGTGACCACTGGAAAGATCTGTGGAAGGAGAGATAGAAGAAGACAACGAGAGAAGATGATTGACAAGTCTTGTTGCATGGCATGGGGGTGTGTCGCAGATGATCGCAGATTATGGAGAGACATGATCGCCCACACCAGTCAACAAGGCACATGATGATGATAATACATTTGCAACATGGCGGTAAAGTCTGGAAGCATGAAAGTAATATTGCAGGACAGATTATTTTTGGGCGTGAAACGAGTTTCCTTGTTCTGGTGGGAGCAAAACAAATTCTTTTGTTCTGGTGGGCAGCAAAACCAGTTTCTTTGTTCTGGTGGGCAGCAAAACCAGTTTCTGTGTTCTGGTGGGCAGCAAAACCAGTTTGTTTGTTCTGGTGGGCCACAAAACCAGTTTCTTTGTTCTTGTTTGCAGCAAAACCAGTTTCTTTGTTCTGGTGAGCCACAAAACCATTTTCTTTGTTCTGGTGGACCACAAAACCATTTTCTTTGTTCTGGTGGGCCACAAAACCAGTTTCTTTGTTCTGGTGGGCCACAAAACCAGTTTCTTTGTTCTGGTGGGCCACAAAACCAGTTTCTTTGTTCTGGTGGGCAGCAAAACCAGTTTCTTTGTTCTGGTGGGCAGCAAAACCAGTTTCTTTGTTCTGGTGGGCAGCAAAACCAGTTTCTTTGTTCTGGTGGGCAGCAAAACCAGTTTCTTTGTTCTGGTGGGCCACAAAACCAGTTTCTTTGTTCTGGTGGGCCATGGTTGATAAAGGTAAAGAAACACTGGACTAATACATCTCTTACATTCTGATTGGTTTATTCCCTAATGCGGGCCAGAAGCCGCTTGCACTAGAGACGTGAAGAAAAAAGTCCTTCTGACATGTTTAGACATTTTTTTGTTTTCTGTTGCAGAACGTGGCAGTGAGCTTTTGGAGCAACCCAGCTGAACACCTGGTCTCTCGTGCACTAAACAAATGGCGAGCCAAGTCGCTGAAAGCTGACAATACCTCGTGTGTGGTGGTGCTGATTGACCCCCTAGGTCCATCAAAGCTAACACTTCTCAGACGCAGGCGGCAGGCTCTGCTGTCTGGGGGAGAAATGACCGGGCAGCTGACAAAAATACCCACCTTGTCTACAGATATTGATCACAGAAGCAAAGGTCAGAATAAAAATGTGAATTGCAGCTTGAGCGACAGCCACATTCGGGTCAATGATGATTCTATCTTGAGGCCAGCTTTGGTCAAGGAGCATGTGGCCATGTCTGCCCAAAGGTCTTCGGGTTCCAAACCAGAACTCACAGAATCGGACGAGGAAAGTGATACTTTCAGTTACCCACCCAAGCCCCCGGTCAAATGGAATTTGAGACAGCAGGCAGCCAGTGACAGGAACCAATCATTGAACACAAGCAGCAGCAACAGACCTCACAACCAGCAGGCAGCCAGTGACAGGAACCAGTCTTTGAATGCAAGCAGCACTAGCAGACCTCACAATCAGCACGGGAATAAACATTTAAACAACTCACAACGCTCAAGTCCCAGTAAAGGATCCAACAGACAGGCTGCAGCAATGTTTACAAAGCTGGCAGATCCCAGCCGAACTGCTCACAGCGAGAAGGGCAGTTGTGAAAGGAGAGAACACGTGAACAGTGTGGCCGACAGCATCTACGAGGACATCGAAGACGAATCTAATGGGGATTCTGGCTCTGACTACGAGAAAACATTACCTAAACCCCCGCCGTCCACCCCTTGTACTGGAGCTAACGCAGCTAACACATTTAATGAAAGTAGTAAAGAAGATTCCTTGCACAGCTCTGCAGATGTCACAGACAAAGCTTTTGCCCTGGCTTCCGATGAAAGCATCCAGTCACCAGGATCTTCCTTTGGCAGCGGTGGTCGGCCCCGGACACCGATGAGTGCCCCAGCCAAATTATCGGGGGCTAGGAGAAGTCACATATCTAAAAGGGCTAAAAAGAAGCTAGTGAAAAGTGGGAAAAAGTTTAACCACCTGGCAAAGGTTCATGCTGTTCAAAATACCACTACTGTGAAGTCAACAAACACTGATCAGGGGACCAGTTCTCTTACACACACCCACTTTAGTAAAATCAAATCACACGATGATCCCAAAACCTCAAAGATGGTGTCGGTTGCCACAGCTGCTGTAGGGAAGAACCTATCACTGTTACACATTCAGACCTCCACGCACGCAGAGTCCCCGCCTCGACATGTTCTGAACACTTCAAGAAGCATGAACCACATTGTGACCCCCAGAAACCAGAAGGAGGCAGCCAGATCTATTTCCTGTAGTGGTCTGACACCTGAAATGAGCCTCTTGATGTCGGCTGTGTCCAAATCTGCCTTGAACCATACCATTGCCACATCTACCACCAACAGTGACATCACCAGCCAGCTTTTCTCCACACTGATGGATGCAGGTATTGGGGATTCTCTTCGGTCCCGGAGGGAGACCTGTGTAGTTGTTGACGATACTGGTGTGTCGCTGGCATCGTCTTCTGTATTAACACAGACAGAGCCACTGAAACAACTCAACAAGACTGTTTCCCTTCACAAAACCGGATCTAAACGGTGGGGCAATTTCTTCAGGGCATCAAAGTTGGGCATCGATCAAATGTTGCATTTGGGCAGTCATCGCAAGGGCTCAGTGCCTGCAGGTGGCAAATTCACATCAGCTGGAACGTTGGAATGTGGCAGCTCCAAACTGCCCAGTAATAGAAATACTTCAATGTCGACTAGCAGGTTGGCTGATATCACACTCAGTAACCATCTGCCCGACGTGACTGTCAGTCACATGGCTGACTTTACTTTGAACACTTCAACTCTCACAGCGGGGGACCTCACCAATCTCTCAGCCTTGTCAGCTGATGATGATGTTCTCTCGGCTGACGATTTATCCATGGTCCATCACAGTATGATCGATGCTGACTCTGCTGATAAAGCCAGCAAAAAACGCAAGGGTTTCCTCCAGAAAACCCGGGTCACCCTCAGCAGAGCTCGCAAGGCAGCAAAGAAAGCCTTCTTCCCTGAGAACCATCGACTGTTTAACAAAACATCCGGCAACAAACGACGCAGCGATGAATTCTTGCCCACACCTGAACAGAAGAGGCGACGGCAGCTAGATGCAGACAAATCCACAATTTCCTAAATCCCTTGGCCAGTATCACCAAAGTGTCATTGCAGATTCAGCTAGGGAGTTAACTCTGTTTCAGGTTGTGTCTGTGCCAGGTTGGACATTGTGAGGATAACTGTTTTAAATGTTTTTTTAAGATGAACTGAAACATGGGGGTCTTATAACTTGATCAGTTCATGGGAAGAGCAGAAATGGCTCACTTGTGTTAAATTAGATGACCTAGGAGACAGTTCAATTTTGCATCATCGTTGTCCTGGGATTAGATTCCATATTTTATTACCGAAGTGCAATACTACCGTCCCAGATATATAGCTCACTTTTTTAGTTGTCATTATTTAGACATGGTGTTATTCTTAATTAGACTGTGGCTATTAGCAGCATCATTAATCTAGCCCATTTGTCATTTTTAGCTTGCTATTTTTACCAGCTTGTTCAACAGCACACATTTATTTTGTACAATTAATCATATTTGGATTTTTAATCTTTTAGCAAAATTTACAGTCTTGTTTTATAAGGAATCGAATAGCTTTATTTCAGTGACTATTGATCTGTCTTTTTAATTTGAAAGGGATATCGGCAAATGAAATTAACTATTTATTTTACTCTATTAATTTTCTAGGGAAATCTGCAAAAAAGTTACTATTCATGTCTGTCCTATTTAATTTTCAAGAGAAATATGCCTGAGAAAGTGAAGAATTAGCCAGGGTAATGCAAAATAAAGTTGTTTACAAACATACTTGTATAAAATGTTGTATATATTTTTAACCTTCAATGTACACAGTAACTTGCCAGTTGTCACTCACTGGCTTTTAAGTTTTTCCTTTTGTTGAGCTGCCTAGTGTATTTTATGTTGTGTTTGTCGAAGAAGCATATTATGTATGATACAAGTCAGGAAGAGAACATTCATCTACCTAGAACTGCAGTACATGGTATGTGTTACAGATACCCTCAGTGTAACTCTCTAGGAGGTTAAACTACACTACAATCTGGCGTTTGTCCTGTGGGATGGGTAGGGTCTTGGTGGTGAAGTCCTGGAGCAATAGCCATGCTCTTTTTGTTGTCAGTCAAGAGCAGTTTGTGTTGACTGCATCGTCAGTGTTGTTGCCATACACTCTCCCAGCAGCCAGACCAGATTATCTTTATCACATATTTTCTTGCTTGTTTGTTACCTTGCAAATGTACAGATTTTTATTACCATGTCATGAACACTTGCTTGTATATGTCTGCATGTGGGGCTTAGGCGTTGTGAACGCACTTCTTAGTGCCAGGTTTTATCCCAGCTGCACGACGTGCGCCGGTTTCAACAGTGCTATTGAAAGCCGATTAATACAATCAGAAAAGAAGTCGGTCATCAGAGTAAAGGTCTGCATAAAATCATTACCAAAATAAAAACACAAATGACTTGCCTGCTTTAAGAGAATGCTGTATAATACTGTACAATATAAGGCAAAAAACTAAAAGGGAGAGACATAGATCCCAAAGTAAACCAGGAACAACATAGAGAGATAACAGCAAAAAAAAACCTGCTGCGGTTGTGTCTGTGGCCGAGTTGGCTACAAGAATGAGAATCAGAAGTGTGTATCACCTTCAACAATCGCAGCGGTAATAAAGTGAAGAAGTAGATCAGCCGTAGCCTAGTGCCTGTCTCATAGACTCAGCAGTTCTCATGTGTGTGTAAAGATACTGCTGAAAGCGGTGAATGTACTCACTATTTTGATTGTGTGTGAATGTTACGTGTGGGGATCATCCGTGGTATCACACTTCACAGCTTCATACTATACCTCAGTATAACTGATATCTGCAAACACTAACATATGTATGATTGTGTGAATCTGGCAGTTTGTTGTCATCAGCAGATAGGTTAATCTGGCATTTTAGTTCAAGTGGTTTTTTTTTAAAGAGGATCTGCATCTGTATGTTGTAAGGACATGCATTGTCTTTATACCGAAGCCCTATGTGTCTGAACAAACAGTTAAATCAGTCATTGTAAATACAAAATTGGTGCATTGTTTTGCAGCCACTAATGAAGCTTTTTTCTTTAATTTATTAGGTCTTTTTCGCTATTCATGGCTTTGAACTTTCTAAGTTATTTTGTTATAGCATTTGATTAATCAGAGATAGTACGACACTACAATCTGTTTCCTAGTCATTTTAGAATGTATTTGTGAATGGAATGTTCTTCTTTCTTCCGTATGTTTTAATTATGCTTGTATGTTTAAAAACAACAGAGCGCGCCATCTGAGAACAGAGTTTTTTGTGTGTCTTGTTTTATTTATTTCTATTCTGTGCTGCTTCTAAGCATACAGCCACATGGGCATACAGTCAGATGAAGAGCCAGCTTCACAGTGAAAGTTGGCTTTAGTGGGTGCCGAGAAATGTCATTCTCTTTTGTCGTGCCAGTAAAAGTTCTCTCTACATATTGCTGGCATTGTGCCAGTCCGTTAAGTGACAGAGAAATGTCATTCTCTTTTGTCGTGCCAGTAAAAGTTCTCTCTACACATTGCTGGCCATTGTGCCAGTCCGTTAAGTGACATTTTGGCAGTTTCAAGCTAAGTGAGTGTTCAGGGATGTCATTTGTCACTTGACGGTATGCCGACGACACTCATGCGAATTCATACTCCATATATGTCAGAATAAAGTGTTTATCGTGCAACTGCCTAAATTGCCAGCCCTCTTTCAGATGCAGTTTTTCTCAAAACAGAGTTACATGTCAACGATGCAGTCCACCTGTGCACGATTGGACTGCACCAGTGATGCAGTCCAATCCTACATAGGTTCAAGGATATTGGTCCAACATGGATTGCAAGGAATGTTTCTCCAACATAGGTTGCCAGGAAAACTGGTTCAAGAAATATTGGTCTTTGTACCAAATCTCCTACATGTACAAACTCTAGACCCTCCAGTCTTGTTTATATAGTTCAAATGTACACACTGCCATATGTTGTCGACTTTTTATCTTTCTAAAATCCGCTTTCACTTGCTGCACTGACATAAAGGAATAAACACACGCATGCATGGGGTGAGTATACCCAATATTGAAGTTTTCTGCTTTTTATTCCCCAATAAAACATTTTCTCCAACCAGTTCAGCCCAAGTCTTCATAGCTTTTGCTGTCGCATGAAGACCATCCTAGATTTTACACTTGACTCTCTGATTCCCTTCTGTCTTCGTTTGTGTGTAGTTGGGGTGACTTGACTCTGATTCCCTTCTGTCTTCGTTTGTGTGTAGTTGGGGTGACTTGACTCTGATTCCCTTCTGTCTTCGTTTGTGTGTAGTTGGGGTGACTTGACTCTGATTCCCTTCTGTCTTCGTTTGTGTGTAGTTGGGGTGACTTGACTCTGATTCCCTTCTGTCTTCGTTTGTGTGTAGTTGGGGTGACTTGACTCTGATTCCCTTCTGTCTTTGTGTGTGGTTGGGATCCTGCTTTCATTCCCTCTACCCTGTTGATTCTTTAAAAAAAATGGGTCTAGTGACATTGTAATGAGGTTTTTGGATGGGATCCTATCCAGTGTCAGCATCTTTTCCTCGCCTCTTGATTCACTGAAATTTGATTAGTTCTTTCTTTCCCAAATAAATTTTCAGTGATTCTGTGTCGCATAGTAGTTTGTGTGCTGCCTAGACAATGGTTCTGGTTCAGTTCCCAGAGAGGAGGCGAAAACCTACTGAACTAGTACAACTATGGCTTAAAATCAATCATTCTTTTCTCTCTCTCACTCTCTCTCTCTCTCATCTCTCTGTCCTCTCTCTCTCTGTTTTTTTAAAATAAATATTGTCTCTGAACTTGTATCTTTATCTACCCCTTGCCATGACATTTTCTCTCCAGTATAGTTGTTACAAAGTGTGATGTCTTTTAATGGGGCACTTCACTTGTCTTAGTTTTAAGTATTGAATCATAGGGCACTTTTTTAAGTTTACTGAATGTAGCATGGGAGAGAACAAATTGTGTTGAGTTGAGGCTCTTATAGACATGCAACTGAATTGTTAGTGGCTGTGGTTCTAATAAGCTTTGTAGTAGTCAGCATGGGTCGCATAGAATAGTGGTCCAACATAAGTTGCAAGGATATTTCTCCAACATAGGTTTCAAGGAATATTTCTCCAACATAAGTTGCAAGGATATTTCTCCAACATAGGTTTCAAGGAATATTTCTCCAACGTAGGTTTCAAGGTATATTGGTCAGACATGGGCTGCAACGAGTATTGATCCAACATTGGTTGCAAGGAATTCTGGTCCAGCGTAGGTGACAAGGAATATTGGTTCCTCATGGGCTGCATGGAACATTGGTTCAAGGAATATTGGTTCCTCATGGGTTGCACGGAACATTGGTTCAAGAAATATTGGTTCCTCGTGGGTTGCAAGGAATATTATTCTAGCATGGGTTGCACGGAACATTGGTTCAAGGAATATTGGTTCCTCATGGGTTGCACAGAACATGGGTTGCAAGGAATATTGGTTCCTCATGGGTTGCAAGGAATATTGGTCTAACATGGGTTGCAAGGAATATTGGTTCCTCATGGGTTGCACGGAACATTGGTTTAGTATGGATTGCACAGAACATTGGTTTAGTATGATTCACAGAACATTGGTTCAGTATGGGTTGCACAGAACATTGGTTTAGTATGGGTTGCACAGAACATTGGTATAGTATGATTGCACAGAACATTGGTTCAGTATGGGTTGCACAGAACATTGGTTCAGTATGGGTTGAAAGACCTTTGGTCCATCATGGGACCTTAGAACAAACCTGTAGTTTGTGCAGAACATAGCCTGCTAGTTAGTTCAGTCAGTCTTGTAGAAGGGGATTCACAACAGTTACATAATTGTATTGAGTGTAGTAATATTCTCAACAGATAAAGGTTGTGCAACAGATAGATCATGAGAGACAAAAGAAGGCTGGGTAGACTTGAGGCAGGGGGCTAGACCAAGAGGGTCAACATCAAGATTGTGGAGAAACTGCAGACTATTTCAGACCGAAGTGTCCAGCAGTTCAGTCGCGTCACTTGACTGAAGTGTCCAG